AAATAAGCAGGAATTGTTTGATTTCCACATAACAGTTAAACTTACACTAAAAACACTGTAGATGGATAGCAAGCAACCGACTGGACGGCGGCACGATAAAAATGTTCTTCAACGTTGTGATAAAGTGATATGCCAATCTCACAATGCTTTCAAGTATATTCGTGGAAACCGAGCAAACCTGTCGAGTGAGATAAGCAGGTCTTATCAAGAAATCCCTATATACATGTCAAACTAGCAAGAATAGGACGTGTTATTACCCTACATTCCATTTATTCACTGAGCTTTTACAATCTAGTTTTATCCATATATTGAGTTACTCTTTCTAAAGTTGTCAAACCAAATCCAACTTTAGACTAACACTAATTGTAAGTTCGCAAGAAACATTCATATAGATCATTGAGTTCGTGGCAGATAAAGCAATCAAACATCGATGAATCTGCTGAATTAAAAAAAGTAACCAGGGCGTGACCGGGTATGCCAGCTAGTCTAGATACAAAACGACAGTGAAGGAAACATGAAACTAACCCTTGAGTGTCATTTTCGGCATCGTCACCGAATAATGAGAAGATTTGTGATGCTGGTGGAGATACGGCATCCAAATCAACTATCACGCCACTCATTCTTAAAATTCAAAATAATAATCCAATTATTTTCGCTGAAGACTTCGGAGCAGGAAATGAAATAGACAGCGAGTGCAACGCCCAACATTACATACACTTTGACTAAATCTAATTTATAGTGACTACTTGTAAACCAAACACCAAAACACCACTAAGGAAGAGAGAGAATAAAGAACAAACTAACGTGAATGATTACAAGTACAGAAAATAATAAAACTGCTCAATGACATAAGGTCATCTCTACAAAAGCGAACAACAATAAGAGAACCGGGAGGAATACCGAAAGCATTTTCCACAATTCAAGTTTTGATTTTGGCGAGCGCATAATACGTAGACAAGGTTAATGTGTAGAGCAATAACGTTAAAAACGCTTAACTCGAATATAATCACCACAGTCGAGAAGGAAACGATAGCAAAAATGAGGACAGTAAAAGTATTGATCACATTAAATAATCAAATAGCTAGGACTGACTAAAAGAATAAAAAATACGGAAAAACAATCACTGGACTCAGCGGAAGTAAAATTCTCAATCTCTTTCGTAACAGAGACGACAATGGAATGGTGTAAAACGTACGGAGAAATGATGTCGTGATAAATGACAGATGCAAGAGAGCAAAAAATCGACAAAGAAATCACTGCTTTTGAACACCAATGGAAATCCGTACACAAACCCGAGAAGAAAAGGAACACAAGTCATCTAGAGACAAGTCTGGTGGGTAAAGCGCATAGAAAATATAAAAACTAAGCTCAATGCGTATCTCAAAAGAGAAGAACAAACCTCTAGCGAAAACAATGACGGAGGTGTATTGCTCCTAGGTATTTGATAAATAGCGTGCAGCGATTACCAATAAAAAGAGGATACCTCTAAATACATTGAGGAGATCACAATGAAAGTCTGTATATCTCAAAATGAGGAAAGAGACAGCACCGAAGTCCATTAGGGTCTAATTTGCGGTACACCGCTTTGGGAACATTTAAGAAGGCATTTTGTCTGAATGACTGAAGGAAAACTCTGAAGGACTACTGATAAGTACGGGGAAAATTTGGTAGAATCTAAGCAGAATACAGCAAAAGACCGAATGTACAACAACTAATTTTTCAGTCATACGGTTGTCGACTATACATGGGGAAGTATTTTGTACGAACAATGGTAAGACGAGCACGAACGAAATAGGTCAGACATAAATATAGACACTGCACTTACGATAAGTGAACTTTCCCGATCTGATATAAGGATTCTTCTGCATACGCCAAATAGCTCCTTCCGTAAAGCTGGAGAGGGATAGCAGGGGCTCAAGTGGCTTCGACTGCCAGAATGCGAAGAAACTTCTTGCAAATATTCCTTCTTAACATAAGCGTCGCATTAACGTGGTCGAAAAAGCTTGCTGGAGGTTTGCTTTTCCATCCTCAGCGATCCAAGAGTATGGCGCACCCACGTCACACACAGCAGAATCTAGAGCAGCCAAAAATAATAAGCAATTGCATGAAAGGCGCAGACTCACCTATAAACTTGCAGGATTTCATGGCAGCACACAACTTGGCAAAACTGGTTTTTCCCACTTGTGGCTGAGCATTCGTGGTATAAAGGCCGGAAGTCAAAACACCCAACATAAGAATATGTAGCTGAACGCAAATGGGTGAAAATGTTAATTATTTCATCCCAAAAGTAAACGCAACTACCTTCTTGTGGTCTACAACGGCAGGAGCGCATTCAAGCGATATTACATGCGCACTTTTTTGCTTACACAACCACGATTGGGTTTCAGCCGTCAAGTCATCAGCTAGCACAATGACAACCTAAATAAGAGCAATGAGTTTGTGAAAGACGTGATTCTCACCATTTTTACCTTTGAGGTTGCTGGCAGTGCAGACACGCGTTCCACAACCGTAACCGAACCAAAGTCAAAACTTGGATATTTGCCATAAACCGTGGTAGAGCACCTAAAAAGCATTCAAGATAGATGAATACGAGATATTTCAGAACAATAAATGTTGATCACGCAAATTCCATAAGTTGTCAGACGAAAAGAGAACAAAATCAAAATCTGAGATGAATTCGCAAAAGTTGTGCATGAAAACCTCTTACCCTCTATTATCCAAATGAGATAAAATGCGATCGAGGAGGCGTGAAGAGGTAGTGGCCGAAGCCAAAATGACCGCATCGTCAAGTGATAAATCAGTTCTGCAACAAGCTTAACTCTAGAAGTCATATAGCATAATGTAAAGACACTGACCTTCCTACAACCTCTATCAGCCACATAATCAATCTATCAGCAATCAAGTAAAAATAAACATCTTGACCCATTACAGCACAGCACTCCTGAAGCAAAAGATTAGATAGTGAAAAAA